TACGCAAAATTTCTGCTTGTACCGTCTTAGACAGTAAAATAGACAAAAACGATTTTGAAAACGCTAGAAAACGACGCTCGTGTGCACATAGCCTTTATTTAGAATCTTTACAAAGCTCTGCATTTTATATCATGCTAGAAGAGCAGATTTGAAGTTCTTTTTATCTGGAATACACATGCAACCTTGACACGAACTTGGCACCGATTGGTAACATGATCAAGTGCTACATACACCAGGTGGCCTCTCCCTTTTGGCTGCCCAGAATTCATGTATGCTCACTATGCTCTGATACCCAGCTGCTGGGTATAGTTATACACCATATACGCCTACACAAAGCGTTTAACTCGAGAACAGATACGTTACGTTCACCTTTAGTTGTATACATTACAATACAGCCTCTTCAGGACTTTTTAATTAAATATCAAAAAAAGCGTGCTATGTCGGTTACATTTCATATTCAAAAACAAATTAATGATAACTAGATTAGTGCAAGTGCATCGAGTGTTTAATTAAACAAGATCTGTGCAAGTGAAGATGGAAGAGTGCAAGGAAAGTTGATATGATTTATAATAGGGCTAATTGATTTTCACGAGATATAAGCTGAATTCTCGGAATTAAGTGATATTAGAAACGCCGCATTAACGGGACATGTCGCAGCTCTCGGAAGCTTTCGTCCAATTGGATAATGCTTTTCTATGCTTTCAAAAGAATGAAGCTATGCTATTGGTTGAAACAGAAACGTATTGTAAAGTTCAGCCAATGAAAATTATTCTTGCGAGGAGCTGCGACCCTACCCGCATTAACAGCCAGTAATCACTACACGTCCCCGCAGGTATACACAGATAATTCATAATTGAGTTATAAAGTAGCTACATAAAATTACGGTTAATTACTAATGAATGCATGTCGACCAAATCAGAATATACCTTTCAGGCTTTTAGAAAACAGCATTAGTTATGAACAAATAACAAGTTCGTTCTGTGACAAATTTAATTGTGTGAAATACATAAACTTTGAGAAAATTTACCAAATAGAGTAAATGGAATTTTCAAAAAAAAATTTGACGAGGTATTTAATTTTATACGTTTAGACTTCGTTAAAACTTTACAACAAATTAAACGTTGTTATAAACGCCCGCTTAGGTTATTGTTTATCAAATGTATCATGCAATAAGAAGTGAATGATTATTGATTAATGATTTTATCTGTAGTATTCGGGATGGGATGAACCTTACCTCGATTGTTTATTGTATGTTAATCTAAAATAATTGAATACAGTACATCTAAACGATATCTCAGCGAATGATTACACCAAATTGGAACAATATCAGAACCTGTCATGTTGTAGTAATCAGTAACGTCGTACATCTGCATACGCCCAGGAGGAAAACCCCGTTCGTAATATTAATTACCACCCATGCATGTTGGATAAACAATGAGCGAATCGTGAGACGGCATGGATAATCCCATCCCATCAGGGTCGCATTGTTCATTCATGATGAAGTACGCCTACGACGGCCTATCATTTTTGTAGCAATAGTACAGAGAGTGAGTCCTTATAAGATCTTTATATAAAATTTATGGATTCATTTTTACATTTCATATTTCAGTTGAATTCGTTTGTAATTTGTATAGCTGGATTCAAATGTTACAGAAATAAACATATCACGACGTGACCCAAAAACATGTCATAAGTCATACAACAGCGAACATTTCGTCAGTTCATAATATTAACATTTCATACACCCTATTTCATTTCCGCTTACTCACAGGCGAGAATATTTTATGGCTGGTGCTTCTATTCCGGATGCTGTATTTGATTCCAAAAAGGAAGTTTGGGAATACAAGACACACAAGATACTAGACACACAAGCAAAATTAGCAAATTTAAAAACAGAACCTCGGACTTTCAAATGTTTATCTTGTTCAAAACAAACATCTGCGAGTGTTAAGTATCGTGTATTTGAGAAAGTATTTCTACAAGATTACAGCCTGTCAGCATGACTTGTTATTTCAACAAACACCTCCTTTCAATGAGTTATCATCACTTGGTAATAAATTTTTCAAAAAATGAAAGCAAAAATCTAGTGCAAGTTCCTGAATTAGAAAACTGCATTTTTTGCACCAAATTATTTCCGTGCATTATCCCAGCGTTCGTGCTTTCGAAAGACACGAATAGATATGTAAAACAAAGTATGACAGCTTAACGGGGCAGGGGGGGGAGGGCTTAATGTGTGTCTCTTGGACATAAAACTTCCGACTGTTATTAAAGCCTGTTTCGGTAGAGGATAGTCCTTTGTTATTAAAAAAAATTCTTCGTCACTAACAATCCTCAACAACCCTACCAACACATATCGTCGTCATATGTCTTCCAGATTTGAGGGTAACGGTCAGGCTACAGGGTCCATTAAGTAGAAACGGTACTGGTCGTGTCGAAGTATATCACAATGGTGAATGGGGGACAATCTGCGATGATGGATGGAATATCAGAGATGCTAGAGTTGTATGTCGTCAACTTGGCTATCCCCTTGCTGTTAGAGCACTTAAAGGTGACCAGGTTCCTTCAGGTTCTGGACCGATATGGTTAGATGACGTCGTTTGTAGTGGGAAAGAACAGAACATAGGAAGATGCATGCATGATGGATGGGGAAATAGCGATTGCGAGCACAACGAAGACGCCGGAGTAGAATGCAGTTCTGCAGGTAAAAAACTGCCGACTAAAATCAGATAGCTAACTGTATGGTCGATAATAATTGCTACTGCTTTTCGTTTTCTTAAAAGTTGTTGCCGGTAAGCCTGGAGCAATAAGATTGCAAGGGCCATCGAGTGCAAATGGAAAAGGGCGCGTTGAAGTGCTCCACGATGGACAATGGGGGACGATCTGTGACGACGAGTGGGATATAAATGACGCCAGAGTTGCATGTCGTCAACTTGGTTATTCTGACGCAGTCAGACCTCTTCAAGGGGGGCAGATTCCTGCTGGTTCTGGACCCATTTGGTTAGACGACGTCATATGTACGGGAGAAGAACGAGTTATAACAAGTTGTTCTCACCGTGGATGGGGTAATCAGGATTGCAAACATTCAGAGGACGCTGGTGTAGTTTGTAATACGACAGGTAAAGCTACGGCTAGATGCAATTAGACGCATTTATATGTGTAGACTGTTGAGAACTTTGAAAGCATGCTCAAAAGAAAATTTTAAAGCCGAGTTGAATTATCTTTCGTAAATATTATATTGCACTTAAATTGTAGTCTTTTAAATGGGTTCAAAAATTTCTTGTTTTACCTTTTCCTTTCCTCTTTCAGACATACCTATCTTCTCATGCATGGCATGAGGTTTCTTACAGTTTTTTTATAGTTGATCGTTAGTGAACATTAAATTTTCCATCTCATTCTCTTAAGTTCTTCCCAAGCCTGGTTCACTCAGGTTACAAGGTCCTTTGAGTGCGAATGGTACTGGTCGTGTTGAAGTATTTCACGACGGAGAATGGGGGACAATCTGTGACGATGAATGGGGTTTGGAGGACGCAAGGGTGGCATGTCGTGAACTTGGCTATCCAGATGCCCGTGAAGCTCTTCATGGTGACCGAGTTCCATCTGGTTCTGGACCTATTTTGTTAGATGGAGTCTCGTGTACTGGAATAGAAAGAAATTTAACAAATTGTTCTCATCAGGGATGGAGAATTCACGATTGCAGCCATTCTGAAGACGCTGGTGTGCAGTGCTTAACAACAGGTAAAGCTCCAGATACGAAGGTATTTATAGAGGTGTGATAACGTATAACAAATCATAGAAGTAAAATTATAGCTCTTCTTCTAGATATTTAGATATAGTACAGGGATCGACTTTAAGTGTTTACAGGTACGCTCATTTTTGTAAACCGGTCATAAGGATTTAAAGGATATCGATTTGCAATCGAGATGATTGACCTGAGGTTGACAGGCCTTGGGGTGAGGTGAGGCTTGAGAGGGAATGCTTTTGTTAGTAATTACATGTCCGGAATCCGTAAATAAAACGTTGTGCAAAAGTTTACCTTGGGGACACAAAATCTAACACCCGACTCTTAGTTCTAGTAAATGAATACACTACATTAACGATTTCTATTTTACAATTTCCATTTAATCTCTTTTTCGCACGTTAAACCTCTCTCTAAATTTTACTGGATTCTTATGAAAGAAATAATAAGGCGTTGTTTTCTCCACTTCCCACACCGCTGTAATTTTACCGTTCATGAGAAATTCGCTATTTGTGACTTTGTCATGAATCGTGTTGGTGAACTTAAGCTCGGGATATTCTTTTAAGCTCTTTCAGATAAAGTTGGGACATTGAGGTTACAAGGGCCATTGAGTACAATTGGAAAAGGTCGTGTTGAGGTATTTTACCGTGGAGAATGGGGAACAATCTGCGATGATGAATGGGATAGAAATGACGCCAGAGTTGTTTGTCGTCAACTTGGATATTCAGATGCTGTTAGATCGCTTTCTGGGAATGCGGTTCTTTCCGGTACTGGACCTATATGGTTAGACGACGTTGGTTGTATTGGAAAAGAACTAAATATATCGAGCTGCTCTCACGCAGGATGGGGTAATCAAAATTGCGGGCATTCGGAAGATGCTGGGGTAGAATGTGAAACAAAAGGTATCTATCGTAGTCAAATAAGTTACACGCGTTCAAATTTGCGTAGTAAGAACGATAATTGGGTGTCCATATGTTACGCAGGATTGATTCTTTTCAAATCGATTCTTTAGAGTCTGTTAACATGACATGACGCGCAGTGCGTTTCTTTCACACAGTTCATCACTCGAAGTGACGTACCTTTTGGCCCTTCAAGAGGCGCCCGGAACCATAGGGAAGCTGCCCCGCTGCCCTTCCCTGAGGAGGACAGCCCTTTTCTGCTTAATTGCGATATCATGAGTGAAACGATTCAATCTTGGAATCTTTATTACAAAATATTGATACCCTAGCTCCTTCAACTTCAATTTCTGGCTTTAATATTACAGATTTTGAAGTTACTGGTAATCTATCGAAAACTCTGAGGTTACGAGGACCATCGAGTGCAAATGGAACTGGCCGTGTTGAAATATTCCACAAAGGACTATGGGGGACAATTTGTGATGATGGTTGGGGTATAAATGATGCTAGGGTTGCATGCCGTCAACTTGGGTACCCGGATACATTTAGGCCTCTTACTGGAGAAGACGTACCTTCTGCATCTTCTGGAGTTATTTGGTTAAGTTACGTTCGTTGTTCCGGCCGGGAACAAATTCTAACAAGTTGTTCTCACAATGGTTGGGGAAATAATGCCTGCTCGCATTCTGAAGACGCTGGAGTAGAATGTAGTACAACAGGTAAAGCACCCGAAAAAAATTGCTCTAATAAAACTCCAGTATGCTAATAATTCTAAGTAAATATTTCTCTGCACGTCAATCAAAGTTCCATTAATCTAAATAGGGGTATAATAGCATATTTTACCTATTGCAAGGAATTTTTGAAAGCCAGATGTCCTTCAGTATAATTAAAGCGGTGTTTGACGCAAAAAGTTACAAAGGGAGATCATGTTTTATTTAACCAAAATTCTGGTCAAACATGCAGTCACAATAGATTTGGCCACGGCATGATAAAAATCTTGTTTACTACTGGGAGTCCCCTTGCTTACCATAATTACCATAATAAAAAAAGTTAATGGCACGTTTCACATTTGAATATGCAATGATATGTATGACTTGAATTTCTGAAAACTTTCATAACGGTCTACCGAACTGTTCACTTTACCTGTAGACTGATTTGCAATTTTTCGTGTATGAAATTTTAATAGCTTGGCTCATAGCTACTCAGCTGCAGTATATCTTACAGGCTCACAGAATTTTTACTTGGTATCAACTTCGTTTATAACTATACCATCGCTGACCTGATATATCCGCAAATGCTTTTCAGTTCTTGCAGATAAGCCTGTGACACTAAGGTTACAGGGACCATTGAGTGGAAATGGAACAGGTCGTGTTGAAGTACTGTACAATGGAGAATGGGGAACAATTTGTGATAAAGGTTGGGATTTCAGCGATGCCAGGGTTGTATGTCGACAACTTGGCTATCCGGGCGCCGTTAATGCTCTTCAAAGCAATGCTCCATCTGGTACCGGGCGAATATGGTTATCTTATGTCGCTTGTACCGGAGAGGAAGGAAATATAGGAAGTTGTTCTCATAATGGGTGGGGAAATCAGCAGTGTCAACATAACGAAGACGCTGGTGTTAAATGCACAACAGAAGGTAAAGTAGCAATGTTGTATATTGGGGATGCTTTTTTTGTTTGTTAGACCATGATTTTCAGCAAATGGAAGAAAATATATGCAACTGAATTTGTCAAACATTACGCGGGCTTTTTATTTGAAGAAAATTAAAGGCACTATAATCTACCTTACCTTGTTGTCCTGGAGCCGGTTCCAAAGATGGATAAGGTTATCCGCGTGATAGTGATTTATTTATTTTTTTTAAAACGTTAGAAAATGTTGACCCTTTGACAACGTTCATTCTTGTTAACCAGTTACAAGGATTTGAACGGTTTGCAAGTGAGTTGATTGATGTGACGTTGAGAGAGCTTATCAAAGAGAATTCGTTTGTTAGTAATTCCATGTCCAGAACCCGTGAATAACACGGTGTGAAACAGTTTACATAAGGGACACAAGATCTTAGTTCCAGCGAGTAAATGCCCGATATTTCACGATTTTATTTTGCAATTCCATTTAATTTTCAACCCTTTTTTTTGTTACACTGACTTCTTCAGTTTTAACTAGATTCTTATGTGGGAAATAAAACATTGCTTTCTCCATACTGTAATTCTAGCTAATCAACTCTAGCTGTAATTTTACCGTTCATGACCAATTCGCTATTTTGTGACTCTGTCATGAATCGTGTTGGTGAACTTAAGCTCGGGATATTCTTTTAAGCTCTTTCAGATAAAGTTGGGACATTGCGGTTACAAGGGCCATTGAGTACAATTGGAAGAGGTCGTGTTGAGGTATTTTACCGTGGAGAATGGGGAACAATCTGCGATGATGAATGGGATATAAATGATGCCAGGGTTGTTTGTCGTCAACTTGGTTATTCAGATGCTGTTAGATCGCTTTCTGGGAATGCGGTTCCTTCCGGTACTGGACCTATATGGTTAGACGACGTCGGTTGTTTTGGAAAAGAACTAAATATATCAAAGTGTACTCACGCAGGATGGGGTAATCAAAATTGCGGGCATTCGGAAGATGCTGGAGTAGTATGTAAAACATCAGGTATCGCCTTCGCATACTAACACACGTTTTTTTCCACACAGCTTATGACTCGAAGCGATGTACCTTGTGGCTCTTCTGCAATTGTTTGGTCAACTTACGTTGGCTGTTCTGGCGGGCAAGAATGTCTAACTAGGTGTAACCATTTTGGTTGGGCCGAGGTGTCAAAACTATGGGAAAGCTACCTCGCTGCCCTTCGCATTCGGGGACAGCCCTATTCTGCCAAATTGCAATATCATGAATGTACTTCTTTACTTAATTATTTTTAACATATACCTTGCATTATGCATGCCTTTCGCTTTAAATCTTGCCGTTTAAACCTTTGAAAATACGTTTTACTGTGGATGTGAAAGTCTGTGTGTATTCTTATATTTAAGTACTAATCCCAAAGTGAATGTATCCTTTCATAAAATCCCTTGCCTAAATTGTTGCCTATGTGGTTAGGCTACTTTATAATTCCCTATGTTTCGCGTGAACAGATACTCTATAGCTTATTTTCATTCTCTGAAGAAAGAAACATTTCAAAACATTTTTACGTAGTGATATGTTTTAAAGTTGAAATCTGTATTATAGAGAATTAATACCCTAGCTCCTTCAACTTCATTTTATGGCAACAACATAAATACATAACATATCTTTATTATTACAGATTTTGAAGTTACTGGTAATCAATCGCAAACACTGAGGTTACGAGGGCCATTGAGTGCAAATGGAACAGGCCGTGTTGAAATATTCCACAAAGGACTATGGGGGACAATTTGTGAACGTGGTTGGGATTTAAGCGATGCTAGGGTTGCATGTCGTCAACTTGGGTACCCGGATGCAATTAGGTCTCTTACTGGAGACGACGTACCGTCTGGATCTTCTGGAGTTATTTGGTTAAGTTACGTCCGTTGTTTTGGCCGAGAACCAAATCTAACAAGTTGTTCTCACAATGCTTGGGGAGATAATACCTGCTCGCATTCTGAAGACGCCGGAGTAGAATGTAGTACAACAGGTAATTGAAGCAACCAAAAAGAATTCCTTTTTTTGTCCCCTTTTGTTTCGGTAAATTTCGACTTTATAAGCCTTTATTCGCGTAAATTTTTGTTCAGGAAAAACGTTCGAATGAGAGGTTTTTTTTGCGGAGGTTTCCTGAAATTATTTTAGATCAGCATTAATGGGAGTTGTTTTTCATGAACAGCCAATAAGTTGTTAACAATTTTCTGATAAAAAAGTTGTTCTCCTTAACTTAGCTTCCACATTCCAGCAAATCGTTTCAGTGACCGGAACTTAAGAACTAATTTTCTGCCTTTCCTTTTTTCTCAGACAAGTCTTGAAATGTTGCAAATGAAATCTAATTTCTTCTTTCGTTAACCAAGAATGCGCTCATATTTACGCATTCTGATTGAATTATTGAAAATGTAAACAAATTTGCTAATTTTGAATTTGTTTTTGGTTGCAGACTCGAAACTGTCAATCAGGTTGCAGGGGCCACTAAATGCTACTGGTATTGGTCGTGTTGAAGTGTTTTATGACGGACAGTGGGGAACGATCTGTGATGATCGCTGGGGATTGGACGATGCTAGGGTTGTGTGTCGTCAACTTGGTTTTTCAGATGCCGTGAGAGAACTCCCAGGGGGTTTGGTTCCATCTGGTTCTGGGCGTATTTGGTTGGATGAAGTCGCCTGTATTGGAGAAGAACGAAACATAGCAATGTGTGACCATAACGGTTATGGAAATCATGATTGCTCACATTCTGAAGACGCCGGAGTAATATGTAGGAGTACAGGTGAAGCAAGAGATGAAACTTTTTAAAAAAATAATTTTGCGGGCAGTGATGAAAGGGATAATATTTTTATTTATATTGATAATATTTTTCATGATTTATATTGCAGTTAAATAGCTGCAAATTTCCAAATTGCGTTACGAGGATTGTTTCTGGTAAACATTCAACATGAAACCATAAAACCCCGGTACTTTATATATATATATGTGTGTTCCATCTCAGGTACCTGGAACCAATCGCTAGCACTGAGATTACAAGGGCCATTGAGTGCTAATGGAACAGGTCGCGTTGAAGTGTTCTACAGAGGACAATGGGGAACAATCTGTGATAATGAATGGGATATAACAGATGCCATTGTTGCATGCCGTCAACTTGGGTATGCGACTGCAGTCAGATCTATTCCTGGGGGGGAGGTTCCTCCTGGGACTGGACCTGTTATGTTATCTAAAGTCCGTTGCACTGGCCAAGAACAGGATATAAGAAGTTGTCCTCACAATGGGTGGGGAAACAATGACTGCTTACACTCTAAAGATGCCGGGGTAGAATGTAGAGCAACAGGTAATTTCGCCCACCGAAAATCTCATATATTCAATAACATATTTGTGAGAATGAGATTCCAACAGTTGCTTCTTTATTTCAAACAACCGTTTTATGTTTGGTTGCTTCAGCTTCTTCTAGTATTTCACCACTTTTTTTGTATCATTTGTGTAAAATGTACATAAGCTATTGATTGCTAAACTTTTCAATGATGATTGAAAAATAAAATTAATCAAATCATCTTATTCCTTCAAGTTGTTACTAAGCCTGCGACGCTGAGATTACAAGGTCCTGATAATGCATATGGAAAAGGCCGTGTGGAGGTATTCTACAATGGACAATGGGGAACAATCTGCGATGATAGATGGGATATGAATGACTCCAAGGTGGTATGTCGCCAACTTGGATATTCAGGTGCTTTAAGATATCTCCAAGGTGGTCAGGTTCCATATGGTTCTGGACCCATATTTTTAGACGAAGTTTCGTGTGATGGAACGGAGCAAAGTTTAGCAAATTGTTCTCATCCAGGATGGCGAGTGCATGATTGCAGTCATTTCGAAGACGCTGGTGTTGAATGCCTTAGAGAAGGTGAAGCTGTTTAAAATATTTTTACTTTTTCTCAATCTCATAACTTCCAATTGAAACCTTTAAGAAGATGATTAGAGTTCCTTAATTTCTGTCTTTAATGTTCTTGTCATTCTTTCAAGATTCATCAACGTATGGATCAATTAGGTTACAAGGCCCATTAAGTGCAAATGGAACAGGTCGTGTTGAAGTCTTTCATAGCGGACTATGGGGGACAATTTGTGATGATGGATGGGATATCAAAGATGCCAAAGTTATATGTCGTCAACTTGGTTATCCAGATGCAGTGAGATCTCTTGGTGCGGGCCTGGTTCCTCCAGGATCTTTTGAACCGGTTTGGTTAGCTCACGTCAATTGTACAGGTAGAGAACAAAATCTAACAAGCTGTTCCTATGCTAGATGGGGTAATACTGGTTGCTCACACTCTGAAGACGCTGGAGTAGAATGTAGTACAACAGGTTAGTACTATTACTGCAAAATCGTAGTGAACACTATCTACAGAAGTTAGATTTCTAAACTTTCTGATCGGCAAATGCGTAAATCTTCGTCGATACGTAAATATTTATCTAATGTTCTTCTCCTCTTATGTCACTGTGGAAAAAGTATCCTGAAAGTTGCGTAGTGTTTTGCTGGCTTAGGTTTATGTCAATTCTGCAGTTTTTTCTACCAACGTTTTGTTTGGCATTCAGCGTGTTAAATGGCCAAAATTTTAATAAAAACGACATTAAAACTTGAAAGACTTTGCAACTAGAAATCAAAGCAAATTATAACCAGCATAGGGGTAAATGATTGATTAATAAATTTAACATTCGTCTTGTTCCTTTAAGTTCGTCCAAAGGATGGATTACTTAGGTTACGAGGACCTTCGAGTGCATACGGAAATGGTCGTGTTGAAGTATTCTACAATGGCCAGTGGGGCACAATCTGTGATGATAGATGGGATATTGAAGATGCTAGAGTCGCATGTCGCCAGCTTGGCTATTCAGATGCTCTTAAAGCTCTTCAGGGCGGCCGAGTTCCATCTGGTTCTGGACCAATACTGTTGGATGAAGTCTCGTGTACTGGAATAGAAAGAAATTTAACAAGTTGTTCTCATCAAGGATGGGGAATTCACGATTGCAGCCATTCTGAAGACGCTGGTGTTGAATGCATTACAAAAGGTGTAGATCGCTATAAACTTATATAGTGCTTCGTCACGTATAGTAACATAAGATAACAATATCATTCATTATTCGGAAAAAGTTTTGGCACCTAAAAATTGTTCAACTCATTTGTAGTTAGGGACAAGACTAGTTTTATACTATATACCTCCTCATTTATAAAATCGGCTGTTATATTGATATGAGTCGTATTGGTTAACTAATATTCGCCGATTTACCTCCAAGCTATTTCAGATAAAGATGGATCATTGAGGTTACAAGGGCCATCGAGTGCAAATGGTAGAGGTCGTGTTGAAGTTTTCTACAATGGACAATGGGGTACAATCTGCGATGATGAATGGGATATAAATGACGCCAGGGTTGTTTGTCGTCAACTTGGTTATTCAGATGCTGTTAAATCGCTTTCGGAGGACAAGGTTCCTTCTGGTTCTGGGCCTATATGGTTGGACGACGTCAGCTGTACTGGGGCAGAATTTAATATATCAAGCTGTTCTCATGGAGGTTGGGCCAATCAGGATTGCGCGCATGCGGAGGACGCTGGTGTGGAATGCAAAACAGCAGGTATATTTGATTTGATAAAAACATGAAGCCAACCATCCCTTTTGGAGGACTTTTTGGTATTTACACTACAGTATCGATTCAATTGAAAAATTTCATTGAATGATTCAGATTAGATAAACCTCGTTTTATGATGTCGTGGATAGGTTTTCAACTTTAGAATGACTCTCATTAACTATCACAAATTCATCAGAATCGATGCAGGATTTAATCATGTCATTCCTTTAAGATGTGACAAAGCCTGGGGCATTAAGGTTGCAAGGACCTCTGAGTAAAAATGGGAATGGTCGCATCGAAATATTCTACAACGGACAATGGGGAACAGTCTGCGATGATAAATGGGATATAAAAGACGCTAATGTTGCATGTCGCCAACTCGGTTATTCAGGTGCCTTTAAGGCTCTACAAGCCAGCCAGGTTCCCACTGGTTCTGGACCTATACTGTTAGATGACGTCTCGTGTACTGGAACAGAACCAAATTTAACAAGTTGTTCTCATCTGGGATGGGGAATTAGTGATTGCAGTTCTTCTGAAAACGCTGGCGTGCTATGCTTTACAGAGGGTAAGTCTACAAAAAAACATAGCGTGTCCCAAAAATTTTCCTTATCACAAATAACTCATCATTTGTGTTATACCTCAGTTACCTAAAACAGTTTCTGAGAACCTGTTTACATGATTCCGGTTACCCAAAGTCTTTATGAAACCAAACAAACACATGCTATTGTTGGGATGACTACACTACCACCAGAATCACGTTATTTCTCATTCCAACACTTTAAATTCACCTCGCGGGCTTCGTTAAATCTCGGCTAAGCGGGATCATGTAAATAAGCCTCCAATCGGTGTTGTAGCCAGCATCGTTAATTGGGGGGGGGGGGCATATTCATATAGATATTCATGTTAACAGACTGTAAAGACAATTGATTTGAAAAGAAATTAATCCTGCGTATCACGAATATATGAATACGCCCCCCAATGATCGTTCTAGCTACGCCACTGCACCCAATAGATAGTTCATTCGACAAGCTTAAGGAGTAGACTCGATCGTGTTTGATATAATATTATACCTTCATTGTAAATTGTCCACTTAAAAAACTTGATTTATATTACGTAATACGGCAATCAATGAAAAAGTTCAATCGAATCAGTTCCTCCCAAAAGTGAAAAATCACACTGCAGCGGGCAATTTGTTTCTAAACTCAAAAAAGATCGATAAATAGTGCTGTATAGGTTTGTTAGCCATTCATATGTTGAACAGCGCTTGGTATTTTTTTTAATCTAGTCAATTTCACCAAATTAAACGATCATTTTTTATGTTTTAACAGACATGAAATTACAACTACGGTTACAAGGACCTCTAAGTGCGAATGGTACTGGTCGTGTTGAAGTGCTCTACAACGGACAATGGGGAACAATCTGTGATGATGGGTGGGATTTGCAGGACGCTAGAGTTGCATGTCGGCAACTCGGTTATGCAGACGCAGTCGTGGAACTTGATGGGAGCCAGGTTCCATCTGGTTCTGGGCGTATTTGGTTAGATAACGTCGCCTGTACTGGCGAAGAAGAAAATATAGCAGAATGTCCTAGTAACGGTTTAGGAAATGAAGACTGTTCCCATTCCGAAGACGCTGGAGTTGAATGTAGCAGAACAGGTAAAACAAGAGTTGCAATATGCTACAGAGGCCAGTTGTATAAAACTCTTTAACTATACATTTTTCATACTTCAGAAATCACACGACTCTGATTGGCTCTGATTTCCCCAATTGCCAATTAGCCCCACAAGCATACTGGCCTTAGGACTATACCAATTTTTTTACCATACAATAACTACCATTTGAAATAACTACCATTTTTAACAATATGTTTAAATATGCTTTCAAGTTCTTGTAGATAACCCTGTGCAACTGAGATTACAAGGGCCATTGAGTAAGAATGGGACAGGTCGTGTTGAAGTATTCTTTGCTGGAGAATGGGGAACAGTTTGTGATGTTGGATGGGACATACAAGATGCAAAGGTTGCATGTCGACAACTTGGTTATCGAAATGCCATCAGACCTCTTCAAGGCGACCAGGCTCCCTCTGGTTCAGGGCGTATATGGCTACAAGAGGTTTCGTGTACTGGGGAAGAACAAGATATCACCAGTTGTTCGCATCCCGGATGGGGAAAACAAAGTTGCGAACATTCCAAAGACGCTGGAGTAGAGTGCAGTAACGAAGGTAGAGGAACTGCTAAAAATTGATCACGTACTAATCTATATTACATCCTTATACAAAGAAGATGAAGCAAATTTTGATTTTGCACGGCTTTTATGAAAAATATATGTCATGAGAAATACTTCCTCATTCGCTCTGTCGATTACTTCAGGGCTTTTCCTTAACAATTAAGTGTTGCTTAAGTGTAGCTGAGATTGTTAACCTCGTATATTCCAATGTAACAAAACGAACGCGGATAAATATGAGGATTATAATTTTTATAGAGAAATGATTTAAATGTGGAAAACACATATTTTAAGTTTTTGACTTCATCTTCAGACTAACTACTGTTATAACATATGTTTAGATATACCTCCTGTGGCAATCAGGTTACAAGGTCCTTCGAGTGAACTTGGAAAAGGTCGTGTTGAAGTATTCTTCAACGGACAATGGGGAACAATTTGTGGTAATGGTTGGGATTTGAATGATGCTAGGGTTGTATGTCGTCAACTTGGCTATACGGATGCATTTAGAACACTTGGCCAGGTTCCTCCTGGTTCCGGACCTATATGGTTAGATGAGCTTGAATGTAGTGGGGAAGAACAAAATATAACAACATGTTTTCATCCCGGTTGGGGAAATCACGATTGCAGCCATTCTGACGATGCTGGAGTAGAGTGTAAAACAGCAGGTAAAACAGAACGATGTAAATAAATAATTATTGTATAAAGGATATGTAATAGCTAATTGATAATCTAATCTCCCAACTACGATTTAGAAATTACACTATTCCCTCAACTTTTTGTAGGTAATGTTTTATCACTAAGGTTAGAAGGACCATCGAGTGTGAATGGTACTGGTCGCGTTGAAGTGTTATACAATTCGGAATGGGGGACAATCTGTGATGATTTTTGGGATATGAATGATGCTAGGGTTGTATGTCGTCATCTTGGTTATCCAAGTGCCGTAAGGAGTCTTCGAGGAGGCCAGGTCTCGCCTGGTTCTGGACCTATTTGGTTAGATGATGTTGAATGTACTGGGGAAGAACAAAATATAGCAAATTGTTCTTATAATGCTTTGGGATTTCATGATTGCGACCATTCGGAAGACGCTGGAGTTGAATGTAGCACGACAGGTAAAAATATAGAGGAATTCAGTATGAGATCTAAGAATATTTGATCAGATCTGTTCATTATTGGATGAACACATTGAATCTCGTTTAACAATTTGTGACAACCATGTCCTCCCAAAAGCAGCAAAAATTTGTAGAGGGAAGATTAGAATAAATTTTATTTCACAAATTTGCCATTATTCGTCTGCTTGAAATATGCTTTACTTTTTTTCAATCCTATAACTTCTAATTGAACCATTTAAGGCGATGATTAGAGTTTCTTCTCCGTCTTAATGTTCTTGTCATTCCTTCAAGATTCATCAACGTATGGATCAATTAGGTTACAAGGCCCATTGAGTGCAAATGGAACAGGTCGTATTGAAGTATTTCATAATGGACAATGGGGAACAATCTGTGATGACGAATGGGATATAGAAGATGCTAGGGTTGCATGTCGTCAACTTGGTTACCAGAGTACAGTCAGAGCTCTTCAAGGGTCCCAAGTTCCTTCCGGTTTTGGCCCCATATGGTTAGAGAACGTCATTTGTAGTGGCAAGGAAGAACAATTAACAAGTTGTCCTCATCGGGAATGGGGAGATCATGATTGCTCTCATTCCGAAGACGCTGGAGTGGAATGTAGTACAAGTGGTAAATATGCTTGATAAGGATTTTGCTATTATGCTGCATTTCAGTATCATTTATAGATACATCTGTGGTGCGTTTTATACAAAATTTTTACACCAAGATAACATGCATGCAGTGTGACGAAGTATGGGCTGTATTTCCACTCTTGCTTTTCAATACAGGGGTTGATCACAAGGCCTGAACCATGTACTGTATTCTTTGTATAAAATCCCATTCACCATCGGCATTCATGAAAACTCTAGATGCACAGTTTTTTTAAAAGATTTCAAAAATTGTGTATCAGCACTTTTTTCAAATAACTTGCTGTTCCATAAGGTTTATATGTACGTATGTATGTTCCATTTTATAATACTGTTTTGAAAAGTAAATTGAGCACTCGTTTGCTGAGTGTCGGAGGATCATTGTTAACACCAGTTTTATACAACTTCTGATTGCTTGTCAGGTTTTGATAAACCCTCGACTAAAAACCGAAAAAAATTGTTTTACAGATCCCTCCCCAATGAAGACCATCAGATTAAAAGGGCCATCAAGTAGCATTGGTAATGGTCGCATCGAAGTCTATCACAATGAACAATGGGGAACAATCTGTGATGATAACTGGGATATCGAAGATGCTCAGGTTGCGTGTCGTCAGCTTGGTTATACAGATGCTGTTCGAGCACTTCCCGGGCGTGAGGTTCCTTCTGGTTATGGACAACCTATATGGCTAGATGAAGTCAATTGTAGTGGAGAAGAACAAGATATTGCAAGTTGTTCCAATCCCGGATGGGGGAATACAGATTGCGGGCATTCGGAAGACGCTGGTGTAGAATGTTCTTCAGTAGGTAATAATAAACGTTTTTAAATGAATGTAGCTATACATGACGTAATACATATATTGTCTTTTCAAACATCTAAACTAGGGTGTTGGGTTCATTTGTTATCGCTACTATGTGCATTAATGCAAGGGGAATTGTATAATGAAGGACTTACTTGAATTTGCCAGATTAGCAAGTTTTTCTGTTAAAGGTTTCAATTGGAGACTTTTTGAAGAATGTATACGTAGGATCATGCATACCGCTCCAGACTCTGATGAGACAGGTTACCTGCAGTTGCAAAACGTTTTCACGTCTCTTTCCCACGAACCCGCAATTTTTTCGATTTGTTCCCGAGACAGTTGTTACACGGGATGACGTGAGATGTTAAGTGTACTGTAGCTCTAATACTAATCTGTTATCAACCTTTGACTTTTCACAGAAATAAACATATCGGTGAGGCTAAGAGGGCCCTTAAGCGAATCTGGTACTGGTCTTGTGGAAATACTCTACAACAAAACCTGGGGTACCATCTGTGATGATTCCTGGGATGTATACGACGCCAGGGTTGTATGTCGTCAACTGGGTTATCCAGATGCTGTTAGTGCACTCACAGGACATAATCCTCCTGGCATTGTGACATCGGATATGTGGTTAGACGACGTCGATTGCACAGGGAATGAAGAAAATATAAAGCGCTGTTATCATCTTGGATGGGGAAATCATAATTGTGATAGTTCAGAAAACGCTGGTGTCGTATGCAAAAGGGAAGGTAAAGCTGAAGAGAAGATAATGTCCTTTAGTAAGCTGGATTAACCAAATAACCTATGAGTCTTTCACGTTCCAGTATATTATCACAGGACTCTTCGTCATCTATTCCAACGTTTTATCTCTACTGCATAATTTTCACGCTTTTTCCGAAGATATTTAGCAGTTCTTTTGTTTCTTAAATCATTCTTTTTTCATGTAATTATTTGGAATTCCTGGTTTTCAGTTACGAAATAACACGTTGATTGCTTTCCCGTATATCGTCCAACTCTGTAGTATTTCTATTTCCCGATGCATATTCCGCTGTCCGGCATTTACAGATAGACTCTATACATTCATATATTCTTCATTTCTTGATTTTGTAAAGGCAAACCAAGAACATTAAGGTTGCAAGGACCACTGAGTGCAAATGGAAAAGGTCGTGTCGAAGTTCTCTACAATAGCCAATGGGGAACAATCTGTAGTGATGAATGGAGTATGAAGGATGCTAAGGTTGCCTGTCGTCAACTTGGATATCCCGATGCAGTCAGATCTCTTCATTATTGGCAGGTCCATTCGGGTTCTGGACCTATATGGTTATCTCGTGTCAATTGTGTTGGAGCAGAACAAAATATCTCAGTTTGTCCCCACGGTGGCTGGGGAGGCCATGCTTGCTCACATGAAGAAGATGTTGGAGTGGAATGTAGTTCAACAGGTTAGCTACCGAAAAAGATAATAAAATAAGCCTTAGGTATCCATTCGAAGACACTACTGTCAAAAACTTTTAATAGACAGATCGACGTTTCATTAGTGTTGGAGAATTAGCTATAATTTTTTTGTTTGGTCAACTCATTAATCCCAAATCGAAAACTAGCTGTCATCATAGGCAAGGTTCCTAAGATCGTTTTGAGATTGAATGTCGTATTCATGATTTATCACTGTTTTGAATTTCGTAGGATTTCCTTTCCCTTTCACAAATCCAATGCTGTTTGAAATTTTGAATGAAATATATGCAAGGTGTACTTAACAATTTGTCTATGATTTTTTTGCCACAAGCATTAATGCAAGCACAAGCATTTAGCATCAATGCAAGACTAGTTCTCAACTAGGTTTTCTAATTTTGTTCAAGATTGTTAGTTACAGTAGTTTTTGGGTTACGAATCAGAATTGCGGGATGTATTTCCACATTTTCCCAATCTTGTACAATCAGATGTTTTCCAGCTCTTGTAGATAAGCCTGTGACGCTGAGATTAAGAGGACCATCGAGTGCAAGTGGGAAAGGTCGTGTTGAAGTGTTCTACAATGGACAATGGGGAACAATTTGTGATAATGGATGGGACATAAACGAAGCTAGAGTTGTATGTCGTCAACTTGGTTATCTTGATGCCGCGAGAGCTCTTAAAGGCGACCAAACATCTTCAGGCACTGGTCATATTTGGCTACACCGTGTTGAATGCACAGGAGTGGAAGAAAATTTAGCTAATTGTTCTTATTCTGATTGGGGGAGTGGAGAACTGCACTGCTCACATAACAATAACGCTGGAGTACAATGTATTTCAGGTATCACATGTGGTAATACAATTTCTATGAAATTTTCATGAGAATCCCGGTCACATAATTATGATATCTGCAAATATAATTCATTATCAGAGAAAGCCATTTTATTTTGAAAGTGGAGTATGATATTGAACCTCTGTTTTCAAACTCAGGGCACACGAATTAATTGCCCTTCGTTCAAATGACGTGAATGAAAACCTGTCGTAGATCGTTCTTTGATCGTGATAGTTTGACAGATTTTGTAATTCAATGGTGGTCGTTTGTGCGTAGAAAACGATGGGTAAACCCAATTACACTGGTGTCATTCCAACTCTCTGATGTTTTTTCAGTCGCCCCAGGTAGACCTGGTTCACTCAGGTTACAGGGACCACAAAGTGCAAATGGAACTGGTCGTGTTGAAGTACTCCACGATGGACAATGGGGAACAATTTGTGAAAATGGATGGGATATAAATGACGCAAGGGTAGCTTGTCGTCAACTTGGTTATCCAGATGCTGTTAGAGCTCTTCCTTGGTACGATGTACCTCAAGGCTCTAGGAGTGTGTGGTTGGAGGAGGTCGCTTGTACCGGAAGAGAAGAAAATATAAATGGTTGTGCTCATCCCGGATGGGGAAATAGTGACTGCGTGCATGATGAAAGCGCCGGAGTTGAATGTAATACAACAGGTAAAGCGACGGAATATGCTGAGGTGGGAACTGACTGTTCATCACAAAACGGAAATACTGTATTACTTTTAAATACTAACTGTCCTCGCAGTTAATACGTGTCAATCGTGATCTCTTTATTTGCCACTCATAAGTTTTAATGTTTCCAATTGACCGTAAGAAAAAAGATGGCGGCATGTACATTTTACCAGAATGCAATGCGGAATTAAGAATGATTGACTGAAAAAAGATGGCAAGAAAAACTCCTAATGACGTGAAATGTTAACACAGCGAAGTAAATAACTTTCTGTTTTATGCCTGTCCTTTAAAAGGCGTCAGTTCGCTTTTTTAAACGATTTCCGAACGCAATGTATTCTGGTAAAATGTACACCCGCCATCTTTTTTTGTTATGGTCAATTATGCATGTGTGGCCAGAAAATTTTCGGCAACTTTCTGGCAAAGGTCTCATTTGAGGCATAGAGACGCCTACGTATAAATAGCGAGTGCCTTTTGTTAAAACAGTTTTGATGCTTGTATTAGGTGGTATTAGGTGGTATTAGATGGTATTAGATTAGGTGGTATTAGATGCTTGTATTAGGTGGCAATTTGTATTAGGTGGTCGCCATCTTGGATTTTGAAATAATTCATGATAAATTAATATTAGTATTGAGTGCGAGGAACCTTGATTGAGCGCAATTTTCTTTTTCACTTTGCAGTCGATTTCTTTACCGTGTTTTTACTGGTAAACGAACATCATGGTGATGTACACGTCTCTACAGATAACTCCCATCAGCAAGAATATTTCAGAATCGAACCGACAAAAACAGTGGTGAAAAGTAAAAAATGGAAGACAACAAATTTGTTGGCAATAAGTGCAGTCGATGCTGGTACGAACCGAAAGGTTCACATCAATGGCCAATCTGTTGTGTATCTGAAACCGGCTATTAAGAAAAAGGTTTCGTTGAACGTTCTCCTCATCCAAGGTACGATCCTACGGGTTTGTCGTTTTTTGCGTTTCTTCCCCGTTGAGTATTCGACATGATATACACTTAATGTATGCTCCCGAGGGAAATAGTGAGTTTTGTTTTCAAGAAAACAAAACTCACTATTTCCCGAGGTAGTGTACATTAAGTGTTTTGTTATATAGGAACGAAAACATACATGTTACACAACAATTTCATTTAAAATAGAAACCCACTTTACTTTGTTATGACAAGAAGCGGGCAACAATTTCTCACTTGTTTCCCTGGCGGGAAACATTGCATTTGTTTACAGTCATGTGACTACGAATGAACCAATCACATTTAAAATACAAAGCACCTATATAACAATAACTTCTTATTGGCCTTATTTTATGATATCTCTGGCTTGTATTCCAAACAAAAAATGCGACAAATATATGACTTTATGTGGAAAATATGATCTTATGTGAATTTAAATAGCAATTCCAAATGTAGACAAAGCGTTTGTTTACAGTACTTAATGTCTTCCCCTATCAGTATAACGTCATTAAAATCATTGATTTTGAATACCGCCATTTTGAATACCGCCATTTTGAATACCGCCATCAAAAACGTATAATTTAAAGGACTCTTGCATATATGTCTATTCGCTCCTGAAGATATTGAAATTCCCCAACTAATTACAACTCTTACATCTTAACTAGCACCGAAATCTATGGAACGAAGTGTTCCGTAAACTCCTAATTGTCGAAGATGAAGACTCAGTTGAATTACATTTAATTATTGGTAATGATTTTCTCATTGTAGTTCTCAGGCGAGGTAAATTGTACTTATTATTATTAGAAGTTGTGCTAAAGTAAATTGCACTAATGGTACGAAAGTACTGAATTGTACTTACTTACTATTATAGATTAAAATTTAAAACACCTGCAAATGATATTTTTTGGCTAGATTAATTTACTTCGTATTTTTGATGCTGATTTCAATGTCTCAACTTGGAGCTATAAAATTGATTAGAAAAATTTGTGATTTAACTATACGTAAATTAAAAAATTGCAATTAAATAACGGACTATTCTTATTTTACAATAACTACCTATGGTAGATATTTTGTGATTTCATCATTTTTTTCATTACTGCATGGACAAAGACATTGTACTAATATCTGTTACAGCTGGGTGCTACAGCGTCAATTTGTTTAAAATGTCCAGTTTTAGGTGATTTTATAACTATTTTTCAAACGAAAAACAAGTGTATGCACTCTTAAAGTATCGTCCCGTCAAAATTGATACATAACTATCGTGGTAAACCATTAACTGACGTGGTTTCATCATTTTACGAGACCGAGATTTTTGAATTTAGTTTAAACAATCGCAGTAAGGGGGTGTTACACGTGGCGTGGTGTGACGTCCCTGCATGCATGCAGTTACGTTCTATTCACTAGTTGAACCGGCTGGCGAAGGGTCAATTATCTATTTACATTGTGGCTTTTATGCCTTGATAATGAAGGGAAACTGTCTTAAGGCTGTATACTAAGTAAATTTGCTTCTAGTTACACCCCATAAGTATTTAATACTGCAAAGCTTTCGGTCCGGTAACCATTTGATGTCACCATGCAAACGTGCAAGAATATTATTGTCTTTAACTATATATCACGTTATATCACGTCCGTACACATCATATTTTAGAACGATTGAGTTACAGGCAAAGAGCCGGACGAAAAAAAGTAAAACGTTTTGCGCAAATTTTCACTGAGCTAGATCATGCATGTAAACAGGCGATGTTGGCTTTGACGAAAATTCCGCCGCAATTTTATTTATTATCGTGAATTGCATTTTTTATACAAGGGAACTTATTTTAGGAAAAAATAATCAGGAAAAAACAAGGAAAAGTACAACGCAAAGTTTATGAGTTATCAGCTACTTCTGCACGCTTGTGAGATGCCAAAAAGTGCCTTAATTGTCGCCAAAAACTATTGCTTTTCGATGACAACCTAGTTGTCGTTCCGCGTGCGTCAAGTCGCTTTATTGTGTATACAAAAAATGTTGAACTTTGACGTACAAACAAAAAAACGCGACACGGGAAAATAACCAATTAAGTGCTGCTTTGGCATTGCAGGGGGTTAGTTTTGCATAAATATAGTTCTGACGAAGCAGCACGGATTAATCCTTTTAATCATATTCGCGAATCCGCTTTGGTCTGAAAAAATGCTGTGCTTGGTTTAGTTGGTTGCTTTAATATTCTTATTTCAGATTCCTCTACATTTGTATACGTATTTTACAACATTCAAAATTTTCCCAATTTTGAAAAAGGTGAGGGTATCGTACGTATTTCAGAAATACTTTATGCCATCAAACAGGGTATAGTATACAGGGCAGTCGATGAGAAGTATACATGAGTCAAAAAATAAATTTGCTCTAAATATTTTTTTTTCGAGATTCGAAATTTTTCCGGTTTTTGAATTGCCGGGACCATCCACTGATTGTCTGTGAAATGTTATATCTTTGTCTCAATGCAAGCAATTTTTCCCACTTTTTCCGGCATATCTAGTGCCCATTTCTTTTATCTTTGTGTTTACCTCGCGCGACTTCCGCCGTGTCACTGTTCTATTGTGTTCCATCCTTAATTAATTACATTCACACGTATATCATTCATATGATATCATTTCTGTATCCGTTGTTCATTATCGATGCACGCGTGTGCATGTTGGCCAGTGTAGGACAGAGCTGATTGAAACGCCCCGATCACTTGACGCTTTTTGGCTGGTCTTCGAGACGAGTTAATTTTGACAAGATGGCAAGCAATTTCCTAATAATTTCCGCGCTCGTGTGCCTGTTTCTTGTGTCGTGTCTATGCGAAGGTGAGTTTAATATATTTATTCTACACTTATAATACATTGAGCTCATTGAACTGGTCAGGAAAATCTCCAATCAACTTAGACTGGGAATCGTTCCGAAAGACTCCATGAGACTATAACTATTGGCAGCAAAGGTCATATGATCACAACGGCGCTGTGCGAATATTCACTAAATAAATAAGGTAAAATAGCAACGCGACACTGATTGTATAACCCTGGGCATAACCATGCTCGCTGTGATATATGAGCATTAGTCACCATTTTTGAAATGGATCAGTGGCAACTCCGACCTATTTGATCGCATAAATCGCCCGTTTTAACGAGTATAAACACTTTTAAAAAATCTCCCAAACCTTGTGTAAGAAATTCCTATAGTCATCCCAAAATTCCTCTGTTAATTCCTACCAGAGAATGAAACTCACGCTGAATGAAAGAGTATCCTGCAAATTCGCATATCGATATCATTTACAGCGGGGTATATATAAAACGATGTCCTTTTTCTTAATTTCAAGGTGTTGAAGCGTTGGTATGAATTTCCAAAATTTATCTACTTTACTTACGAAACATATCTTAACCGACTATATATGGTTTCTCGTTTGCCTTATTTGCTATCGACCTTCTAAAAACAGGCAATTGCGTGCGTGTAATATAGCCTTTATTCTTCCCAATGTGATTGTTACAAGCCCAAGATTGACAACAGTAGCGATTGACGTGCAAGGAGAAAAATTTAACAATTAACATTAATTAATTAAAGCAAAAGCAGTTATGAGTGTAATGCCAGACATTTTAAAAATTAATTTTATTGCTTAGGTATGCATTACAACATCTTCGTGCCGTTTAAAATATCATAGGCACAGAGAAGTGCTATTACTCGGTGGATATTTGAACCTTACGAAAAATAGTTACAGCATTCGAACGAAATAAACGAGTGATGGAAAGAAGAGGGAACGATATGGCAGATAACTAAAGATTGAAATAAGACACACGTATAGTTCATTAATCCTGTTTTTCATATGTCGTAATTCAACGGCAATGTTGATTATAACTTCTTGCGAAATACAAATCAGTTTTTTGCATCAATGACCACCAACAAGATAGTCATCGCTAATGTTATAATGTATTATATGAAAACCAGCCTTTAGACGTGCATTCAAATCTATTAAATCAATGACAAAATGTCAGCATATATTTATCAGCATGTCACTTATCGAGACGGTTGTTCGAAATTAGATACACGCAAGTGTGAATAATGCGGATGGAATGAAAAAGTCAAGAGGTTGACCCTTCGGTTTATGTCATTCCAAATGAGATGAAGTTTGCATGGATATTCGCTAACTCTCGTGAATAAGAAGTTCATTTCAGAGTGCAGGTTCAAGCTTTTTTGAGCTCGCCTTTCCTACGGAAATTTGAAGTTTAGTAAAAAGGTTGAGCCGTTGAGGATGGTTGTGGAAGTGGAACACGGCACGGAGCGAAAAAACGAAGTTTAGTTAATATTTCCGAGAGGAAAATTATTATTGAAGTTTGCTGAAAGTATTGATGGAATATTCTATCGACCCTTTAAAAAAGACGATCAATTTATCCAAAAAAATTGTTAACTTCCTGTTTACGGGAATGCTCACTCAACATCTCGCTTGACTGAAATAATCGTCACGAATGGCATCTTGCATGGTTGAATCAACACGCAAAAAGCTTGATAATAAATCAACCTAAAATATGCTAGATAACATACCAATTGGTTTTAGAGGTATTGAATTTAAGTACTGTATCAACACTCCCACTACGAGAGAAAAAATCCTCACAAGCAACAAACAAATATAGAGAGGGTCTGGGTGTCCCCATTCCAAAAAGTGTCCCTTCAAAGTCATGTTTCGCACCATCCCATGCATTACCTACACTAATGGCTGGTTTCCGTTTAAATGTAAGTGTCGTGAACAAGTCAAGGTGGCTGATGTAATAGAATATTTCTATGTTTGTTCCGTCAACATTGACCGATTCCACGGATTTGAATACAGAGACTAATAAAAAATTTACATACGGATTATTTCTCGAGTTGAAAGATTTGTTCACGAGAATAACGACAACTATTTTGTTGTAATTTTGTCGTAATCCAGGCTTAAGTCAATTTTGAATGTACGTTCTCCGAAGTGTTTTTCGTCACTCACTACCAAAATTGTTTCATTCAAAAAACTTGCTTTTAAATGCAAGCGTGCAATTCTTGGTATCATTGGCATGTATAAACTAACCGTCTGGGAGTGGGACGTTTTGGGCTGAAAATATTGAAACCAAGGGAAAAATCGGGGGTTTTGTGCATGAACATAGGTGGTTAAATACCTCTCAGCATTCGATAATTACCGAATCTGCTCATCAATCCTCTCTTATGTGTAACTAAATGAGGTAAATAAATTCTATATTTCAAGCTTGCATGCTATATCTCGTGAGAAAATTAGTTAGTAATGTGTATATACGAAAAACAAGCCTCTCTTGCATAAGCAGTAATGGGTAATGTGTAAAAAAAGTTGTCTAGACTTTGAGACGGCAAAAAGTTATCCTTTAAAACGCATTCACATTCCTTAATCCTACAAAAAAGCATGTCTTTATTTGCATGCAGGGAACTAACTTTATCCAGGGCCGTAGCGACAAGCTTAATAATGGAAAGCTTAGCTTCATATATTTGTCTAATGCCCGACTGATTTCTTTAGAAAGCTTTTGTTCCTGTGGGTATAGTGTCGCAGCTCCTCGCGAGAATGATTTTCATTGGCTAAACTTTACAATACATTTCTGTTTCAACCAATATGCATAGCTTCGTTCTTTAGAAAGCATAGAGCAAAGCTTTAGAAAGCTTCCGAGAGCTGCGACATGTCCCGCTCCTACGCCGCATGTAAACATGAATATATATATGAATATGCACGTCTGTTGGGCTCCACGGGCTGTTTGCGATGCATTCCATATAATAGCCACTCCGTATCTTAGCGACACGTAGCGTATATCATTCTTTTCTGGGCACATTCCTGACATAGAACTAATGACTTCGAGACAACGGAATACGCTATACGGATTGCTACGATCCGGTTAAAGTGCAGGCCTTTATCTTGGCTAAAAAAGGGAAATATCCAGAAAAGAGCATATATACTACTCAATTAGTACAACTGCGAAATGTTATAAATGAAACTACGGAATGTATAGCTATGACGAATTTTGTATACTTTTGTATCACGAGCGGTAGTATGATTACACAGTTTTACACAGTTAGCTAGTTCTCTCGTTCTGGTTACCTAAATTCAAAATCAGGTTAAAACCCGTACGCAGGTTCATTGGGAAGGGGGGGCATATTCATGTAATCAGATCTTACCTTAAAGCAATTCGAATCTTAGTTGAAGGATATCTTCTACAGGCAAAAATACGGCGGCGAAAAAGCCTTCAGTTATCGTTCCAGTTCAGAGTTCATCCGCATTAGTGAGACTCGTCTGACTCGAACAGCCATATTTAGTCATTTTAGACTTTATTTTAAAGCACACGTCAATGTTGAAGCTTATTAAAAAATGTTTAAGCTTATTAAAGGAAAATGAAAATAAAATTCTATCCCATTATGGGAAAGAACCTTAACAAGGGGTTACAACGGGTTCTGCACATCGGTTCTGCTCATAACATGGGGGAATCCATGATTCAAAAATTGCCCAAATTTGGCATGTTTTGAATTTCTTTAAACACAAACTCGATCTCTTAGTAACCGAACTTGTAATAAATATTCCGACTGGACGGTGGACAGGATATTAATTTTAAGAGATATAGCAATTCAATATGTAAACAAAGCGTTTGTTGATATTACCGACTTAAACTCAACTTTAAGAAGAGTTACAAATCCATCATTATCTTGTTTACTTTTAAGATATTGGCGGGCAAATATGTACGCTTGTCGCTATATTGGATATGCATATGTATCGACAAATATACATGACGTCACACAAGGGCATGACTCGCGTGACTCGTAACACTCAAAATTCCGGATAGAATTCAAGAATTTCTGCGCATGGTTTTCAAAGCGTGCTCTTACACAAATAAACGCCTTTATCATAGCTTCTATCATTTCAAATATATAACGATAGTCATATTCAGACAATGTCTTAAACTATCTCCAGATCATAGAAAAACGGTCAGGTTACAAGGACCGTCGAGTGCGGACGGAAAAGGTCGTGTTGAAGTATACCACAGTGGACGATGGGGAACAATTTGCGACGATGGATGGGACATAAAAGACGCCAAGGTTGTGTGTCGTCAACTTGGCTACCTATTTGCGGTTTCTGCTCTTAAAGGTGACCAGGTTCCTTCTGGTTCTGGAGATATATGGTTAGACGACGTGCGTTGTACCGGCAAGGAACAAAATATATCGAGTTGTTTTCATGATGGTTGGGGAAATAGTGATTGCGAACATTCCGAGGACGCCGGCGTGGAATGCAGTTCTTCAGGTGAAAATATTTAGTTCAGATAGCTCATTATTTTTTTTTCAATAATGTGCGTGTTCCCATTTCGGCCTAAAAACGTCACTTTTGGATTGATTGAACTTGCCCAAGGGCGTGGTGACGTGATGACCAGGGGGAGGAATTGCGGAGGGATGTGACACTAAAATATTCAAATAATCCTCAACGATAAGAAGTGGTCGAATTGTGTGTAACCGTATAACCGTCCGCAGTCCGAACTCGTTCGCTACGCCCATGTCTTTCCCTTTGAATTAATACAATCTCTTGTTTATCAAAATGATAAAATTTGCGACGAAAATATTGCATTTGGTACCTCTAATGTCTGTCCACATTGGTATCTGCACGAAACACCCAAGCGATTTAAATGCAGGGCTTAGTAAACATCTTTTTTTCTTAAAATCATTTTCCCGTCCATGTTGTTCACACTGTTTTCCTCTTTCCATTTACCTCGGATCATCCATTTTTCGTTCCATTCACTGATTCGTAATAAATTGTTGTGCATCAAAAAAACGTTCATCTGACTTCTTGCTGCGAGTTGAATCAACCATCTTATACTCCCCGATATTCCTCTCAGTTATTCCAGGTAAATCTGGGTCGTTGAGGTTACAAGGACCGTTGAGTGGCAGTGGTAAAGGTCGTGTCGAAGTGCTTCACAATGGACGTTGGGGAACAATCTGTGATGATGATTGGGATGTAGAAGACGCCAGGGTCGTATGCCGGGAACTTGGTTATCCGGATGCTGTCAGATCTCTTCAAGGGAGTCAGGTTCCTTCGGGCACTGGACCTATTTGGTTGGACAACGTCGATTGTACAGGGGTGGAGCAAAATTTAACAAATTGCCCTTCTCGAGGTTGGGGAATTCACGATTGCACTCATTTTGAAGACGCCGGAGTAGAATGCAAAAAAAGAAAAGGTATATAGCTATGATAACAATTGTTACATAATAACGCAATTTGATTGGTCAACAGCCGTGCAGGATCCAGCCATCTTGCACGAGGAATTTAAAAGCACTGGCGGGATTTTCGCGGGATTCTCAAGATATCGTTGTTTCACTGTAGTTATTTCGTAAAACAATTACCAAATGTTTTTTTCATGCAGAAATAGCGTGATTCATGCACTCGGGATGTTGCTCGACTCTCGGTACAAAAGTCTTGCAACATTCCTCGTGCATGGATCACGCAATTCTGCATGGAAAACCATTTGGTAGTCTTTTAAAACTCGATGAGACTAAAAAATTAAGTGTGAGTTATTGGCCAGGTTATGCAATATCAAAAAAAAGGACTAAAAAAACTATGCTAGTGTCGAGAAAGCCAGCCTAGTTCCAAGACCTCTTGGGCCTAGCATCTTATTTCTCATTTTCCTCAACTCACTTTGTCATAATATTAACACCAAACGGTTTTCCGCGTGAAAGCTTTTGTGATCTGTGCATGAGAGATGTTGCAAAACTTAGGTATATGTGACGATGGTCTAATCGATTATACGCGATTAAAAAAATGCGTCGGTGAAATAGTCCTACAAGGCTATCAACCGTTCACTCTAGTATTTACTTCCATAATCACGATATCCTTCGTTATTTTGTAGTTGAAAAAGACTATTTTCTTGTGTTTTTGATGGTGAATGAATATAATAGTGATATACTCGTCACGACAGATGTGTCCGGTCAGCTGAATAATTTCAATCTTAAGAAAGGTGGCACAATGCTGAAAAGCGAAGTAGTCAAGGGAAAAAACACGTTTTCCCTAAGTGCAGTCGATGCTGAAACGGGAGAGGCGGTTCACATCAATGGACAACCAGTCGTTAATCTGGAACCAACAAGCAAGGAGGAAATGTCGTTGCATCTTCTCACTGTCACCGGTAAAGATGTTGGCTGATTTATTTTACTTAAATTCGCAATACGAAGTTTACTGCCCAACAAATTGTTTTTAAAAGAGCCATAATACGTTGATAATATATATTGAAAAACATTCACATTTCAATAAATATTATTTTATTATATTGTTCTGGGGGCGGTTGTATCAAGCCCGTTTAGCTTAAACGGTTGATAAGCTTAAAATAGAAAGCAAGTCTATCGTTTTATTCAACTGACAAGAAAATTAAATGTTTTTAACTGCAAAGATACTGTTTATACAACTACGTAGGCTATTCAGTGCATAATATTCAAGTTGACTCATTCAAGTGAGATGTAAGAGTGTTATTAATTTTCACTTATCCACCGTTTAAGCTAAACGGGTTTGATACAACCGCTCTTTCAAAAACAATCTTTGTCTGAAAAAGTCTGGTTCATTTGAAAAAGTCTGGTAGCAGATTGGTAAAATACGGAGCCTGGCGAATTTCACCGTATCTGTATGTACTGTCAGTACAAGCGAAAAAACGGATAAAAATTACCAATGCAGGTCATGTGGTTTCACATTTTACAACATTACATTTCTTTTTTTTTTTAATTAGCACCTTAGGATGGATCAAAATATTGCGAAACCTTTGAGGACTTCACAAATTGATCTTTTGTTGGTGCCTGGTGATTTTAGCTTATGAGTTAGCGTGATATTTTTTGGAATTTAAGTCCATTTAATTTGAACAATTATTCTGTTCATTGTAGTGAATTTAAAAAGGACTGACACTTATAGTTGATTGAACATCATATTTGACGGCAAGGAGCCTATATAATCTTGTAGGCCAAATAATATATATTTGCTGCTTAATTATTTACATTTAGTTTTCTGTTATAATCAACGTATGTTCGGGTTAAAACCTGATTCAAATTAGTGAATGTAGTAAATATAAATCTTCATTTAATTTTATAGTTGAGGCATTAAATGTGGCATTAAATGCGCAATCGTAAACATAGGGATACTACTCCATAGTTGTTTAGGTACATCCACAGTTTTTTTTTGTCCAAAGTTACATGTTTTGAATTGCTTCTAAAGTACTTTTTTAAACTTACGCGCTGAGACTAATACTCAAAAACTCATTTAAATCGATACCGCACAGGTTGGTAAAAATATATATTCGGCAATCTGTCAATATTTTATGCAATTTGATGCATGCGATTTTCAAAATCTTTGATTCGAAACTTGGATGCTCCACTCCTCAATCGAGCAAAAAAAGCCGAAAAACTGACCTCTTAGTCAATTTTACATCAGAAATCGATTTTTGGGGTCAAATTTACTCTAGGGGGAGGGTATCATAGAGTTCTGTCGCCTTTTCATACAGGCATTAAATGCGCAATCGTAAACATAGGGATACTACTCCATAGTTGTTTAGGTACATCCACAGTTTTTTTTTGTCCAAAGTTACATGTTTTGAATTGCTTCTAAAGTACTTTTTTAAACTTACGCGCTGAGACTAATACTCAAAAACTCATTTAAATCGATACCGCGCAGGTTGGTAAAAATATATATTCGGCAATCTGTCAATATTTTATGCAATTTGATGCATGCGATTTTCAAAATCTTTGATTCGAAACTTGGATGCTCCACTCCTCTGGCTCCAGATGATTTTGCTGTGCGTATTCGTTGCTGGCGAGCGCAGCGAGCCAGCACACTAATCTGGAGATTGGCCGCGTACGCCTCGGAGTCTGGGCACGTATATTGAGGCGAAATCTCGATTTTTGTCATTCATTCTGGCGCCCGAAACCATATATGGTATGCGTTCTATATATGGAAGTTACCTGCGTCTGCGAACCCCTGCAAAGTTATTTCCGTCATATTTCCTGCAGGGCAAAAAAACTGGCTTCGAGCCGCGCCGGCCCGCGCGACCCGCCACTGACTCACTGTTGTCGTACATAGATACCTAGATAACTCACTGTTGTCGTACGGAATACCACCAAACGATAGAGCTTGAAAAGACGATTTAAATAGTATCTAACACGTTTGATTTTGTTTGATATGCGAGAAAAGGTTGCATGTGGCAGAAAACTCACAAAAATCTATCCGCACACAGTGAGCTGTCGGCTGAGCTAACAGGCACGAGTAACCCGTTGCTCAGCTGATAGCTCTCGTGTGCTGCAGGCTTAAAATGCATGCGATTTATTTATTATCAGTTCAATATTACACATCAAAGCGGCCTAACCTATAAAATATTGCGCAAAATACAAACTAAAACGGTTACAGTGAGTTAGTACAGTTAGTTCACATTTTCAGGATTATTTTGATATCTTTAGCGTCAAAATCGAGCCTTTAGAGGATTTTTGCCGATTTTTTTTATATAAACATGCATGACGATGTGAATTATCACATCACCGGCAATACTATTTCACAATAATGCAAATATCGAAAAAAAGTCGGGCAAAAAAGCCGGAAAACTGACCTCTTGGTCAATTTTACATCAGGAATCGATTTTGGGGTCAAATTTACCCTAGGGGGAGGGTATCATAGAGTTCTGTCGCCTTTTCCAACCGCATGACAACATTCCGAGCACGCAGTAAGCACGCGCTTAACTCAAGTGAATATTATGGCGAATTGGCAACATATCGATCTAAAAAATGCGTGTATCTACTGAGGAAAATTTTCTCCTTAAAATGGTTCTATTTTTATTAAAATCGGTCAAGTATTCACACAGAAATCGCAAGTTAAAATGAGCTAACCACTTTAAGATGCAATCTGATCCGATGACAATGAGTTTTAAGATTCAATACGAATGGCGGTCATGGAAAGTTTTCGTTTTTGCCACTTTGTAGTCAAACCGCAAGTGAACACCGGCTTTTCCCATTCCTGGTTTTACAGATTCCGGCTTTTCCCATTCCTGGTTTTACAGATTCCGGCTTTTCCCATTCCTGGTTTTACAGATTCCGGCTTTTCTCGTTCCTGGTTTTACAGATTCCGGCTTTTCCCATTCCTCGTTTTACAGATTCCGGCTTTTCTCGTTCCTGGTTTTACAGATTCCGGCTTTTCTTGTTCCTGGTTTTACAGATTCCGGCTTTTCTCATTCCTGGTTTTACAGATTCCGGCTTTTCCCATTCCTGGTTTTACAGATTCCGGCTTTTCCCATTCCTGGTTTTACAGATTCCGGCTTTTCCCATTCCTGGTTTTACAGATTCCGGCTTTTCCCATTCCTGGTTTTACAGATTCTGGCTTTTCTCGTTCCTGGTTTTACAGATTCCGGCTATCCTCATTCCTGGTTTTACAGATTCCGGCTTTTCTCATTCCTGGTTTTACAGATTCCGGCTGTTCCCGTTCCTGGTTTTACCGTTCCCCGTTCCTTTCCCCATTCCTTTTCCCGATTCCCCGTTCCTTGTTTTACAGATAGCCCTCGTTTTATTGAGCGGTTTAACTTGCTTGAAGTCACAACAAAGGACGATTTGTGTTGATTTGTATTTCCGCGTGATGACAAGCGCACGACAGCCGCCCCGAAAAGCCGCCACCCACCTCTTATAATAGCCTTCTTCAATTTTCACACTTGCAAGCAAAGCATCGCGGGCTCTGGGCACACTGGAGACGAGATTGAGTATTACTATTACTAGAAATTTCTAGTAGAAAGTGAAGTGCTGCGAAATGTACATATCGATTTTTATTTCATTTTTTCATAACATAATGTGACACATATCTAAATTATATGAAACATATCTAAAATAGGTTTATAATATTTATCATGACGTCACACATCATGAAATTTATCATGACGTCACACACTACATACATACCAAAACAGCGAGATCGTATACGCATACAGAATAGAATGCTCCTCGCTTCGCTCGCAGCAATTATTTGAAATAAAATCCCGTCTCGCCACAACAACACAGTGCTTCGTTAGAAATGGTGGCAAAAAGGAAAACATTCTGTGACCGCCATATGTATTGAATTTTAGTGTAAATGCCTGAATTGGCGGGTCGCTGCATTCATTCGACGATTGTGTATGATAGTCTGTCGTGTATAGTCTGGACTGAAAACCAAGTTACTTAAGGGCCCGTTCACACTAGCGTTTTTAAATCGATTCGAAATCGATACGAGTCCGAATGAACCAAGTGTGAACAGGCACAAGCGAAGCGAAAACGAATTCGATCCGATTGAAAGTAGTCCACTTCAAGAGGTGGTCTCGATTCGAATTAATTTGGTCCGTTTCCCAGTGTGAACGCACTAATCAAGTGAAACGGATCAGTCAGGACCACTGAGCTCAATATATTACCTGGAGAGATCGCTCGGGAAAAAGCGCGCGAAAACTTTATTTTTGTTTTGGTTTCTCGCAAGACCCACAGTGAAAAAATAATTCTTCTGCTTTGAAAACAATGGCAAAACGGGGAGAAACATGGTCGGAAAAAGAAACGTCAGCATTAATAGCCATATGGGGAAACGAAGAAATTCAAAGAAAGTTAAGCAACACACACAAAAATTCGCAAATTTATAAAAAAATTAGTAAAGATTTAAAAACAGTAAGCGGTTTTGAGAGAGATCATGTCCAATGCAGAAATAAGGTGAAACAACTGAAAAACGTGTATAAAAAGCACAAAGATTCTCAGACAAAGTCTGGTGCTGGAAGAAAAAAACCACCAAAGTTTTTTGACGACTTGGACAATTTTCTCAATGACAAGCCAGATGCTACTGGTCTTGCGAACGCCATTGATACGTCTCACACTAGTGTAAACGAAGCAGACAATGAAAGTGATGTTTCCGTTGATACAGGTAAACTCCTAATTGTTTTATTTACTGTGTACGTGATACATGAAATACAGATGATGAATATTTTTCAATGATTAAAATTGAGCCTTAGTTTACTTTTATTTGATAACATGTAACTGAACGTTTTATAGAATTTGATCTTGTCCAAAAATATGGTGAAGGGTCTGTGATTGAAAGGCCTTGTCCAGATTGTGGTTACATTGTAGAGTTGCAGTCAAGCGGAGTCCACACTACTGACAATGGATGTGTGAAGGTTTACTGTGAGGACGACGAGTTTAACTGCCCTAAATGTTCTTACACTGACAAGGGTAAAAATTGTACACATAATTATTCATTCACGGTTTTTAAGTTTCAGCCAATGAAAGACATTTTTTTTAATGATTTTACCCCAGATATGGAAATAATACTTCTTAACATCTTATCATGTGTGGTAACTAATAAGAACAATATCTGCTTTCAGGATCTGGTGAGGTAGAGGTGCAAAACAAACGGAAATCTGAAAAATCAGAGCTTAAAGGGGTCAAAAAAAAAAAAAAGAGACAGCTGTTGAGAGAGCAATCGGAAAATTTACGGAGTACCAGAAAGAATCAGATAAAGCCTTCCTTCATCATATGACGGAGCAGGCAACAGTAGAAGCTGATTTGAGAAGCCAGGAATTAAAAGCCTTTACGGATTCAATGGCGTTACTTGCAGAGGCAATTGCTGGAAACCATGCTAACTCAGTGGAAGCACAAGAAAGGGGTTACAATAATAATTATCAATCCAGGATCGTTGATGGTGGGAACACTTACTTTACATTTTGAACTATTTGAACTGTTCATATTGAGTTGTGTGAAAAAACACTTGTACTTTATGTTAAAACTGTTATCTACAAAGTAGTATTTCTAAATATACTGTACTTTTGCTGTTTGTATTCAATAACAAGAATAAAATGTCACAGTTAACGTTAATGTGTTTTGAAATGCTCAGTCAAGGCTTCTCTTATTTCATGGGCATTGGTGTCTACTTGGGATCCAAAGTCAAAGCTGTCATCAGGGGCTGACTCAATTGTGTGGAGCCATTCTTCTTGAAATCCATCTCCCCTCTTCTCACAGAGATTGTGAAGGACACAACATGAGGCAATTTTTGGTGGTAGATACTTCAAGGTTGTATTATTTCTTGTTA